CTCGTAAGGGCAGCTGTAAAGCCGGGCTCCTTTTGTTCTTCTGCCAGTGAGTTGAAATTTTCATCCATGAGAATGTTGTAAGACAACACAGAGAACAACTGTAACGTACAGATTTGAAAAAGGCACCTGAAAGGCACAGAAAAATTGAGAAATCGAAAAGAAGGAGCACATCACACAGCCACTTGAGCTTGGCGCCGAGCCAAGATGCATGTTTTTGATTTTCGCGGTAGACGCCGACAACACGTCGGTACCCGTCCACGATTTACTTATCTATTCTGTTCTAAATTTCACCTCCAGTTTCTCCTCTCATTTCTACTTTCTCTGTTTCCTCTCTTCCTTGTCATAAGGGTTTTTTGGCCAGCGAAGCGCCCGAACACTGTCAATCAGCTCCAGCGCGCTAGATGCCTTGGTATAGACAGCTTTAGGTCATATTCACAACCGCGACATTGTGGAGTCTGCAGTATCTGCGAAAGGAATGGCTGATGGAGTGTTCAGAGTTGGCGATCGTACATGCGATTAGGCGATTGTCAGGTGTGGTCCACTAGGACAGAAAGCGAGTTTTTCGCGTTTCGCGCGCGAAACATTTTCGCTGCGGGAACTCCAGGTCCACAGCGGTGGACCTGAGGTTCCTGCAGCGAAAAATGTTTCGCGCTGCGAAACGCGAAAAAGTCGCTTTCTGTCCTAGTGAACCACACCCAACTTCATTACTTTGACTGCTGCTGCTCAAGATTGTAGCACTACATCACCTTAGCGTGGTGAAAGGTGAAATCTTGATTTGGCTCGCACGACGTTATCCTTCCAAACGAGTGCGGTACTAGTGCTTAAGTTTTCGTTGACTCCGCTAACACATACAATGGTTCCCCTAAAGGGAATGACCACGACGTTTTCATCGGAACGATTACAAATTCTTCCCTACCATACCCTCTTACCCCTGCTTACAGATTTTGGCGCAATGTGGCTCGGGGGGGGGGGGCAGCCGCCGCGCGCGGCGTTGCGGCAACAGGAAATTCGTGAGCCAGGGGGAATGTAGCCAATTCAGGGGGTTGGGGGTGAGGGCAGTCACTTGACATGCGTGAGAAGCTGGAATGTTCGAGTTACACTACATCGCTGAGCCGCGCGCGGCGACTGCCCCCCCCCCGAGCCACATTGCGCCCAGATTTTCACCAGAATTGGAGATACAACTTGTTTGTCAAAGGAACAAGCGACAAGAGGCATGCATGATTGAATAGCAACAGTCCCATTTCCTTCGCAAGCGCAGTTTTCGGCAAGATGATGTCTCCTACCTGTACCTGTAAAAGACTTATGAGCACACTTCTAGAGAAGGCAGAAAACCCCGACTCCCGAAGATCCAAACCATTGACCTTGCAGACACCAGCAGCCGTATGCTGAATGTTGG